AATTACAAGCCTATAAGTTAACGTTTGGGTCAATATTGGCAGTAGGGCCGGTCGAGGCCGGCTCGTGCGATGGCTCGGGTTGCTGCTCCGTAAGCTCAGCCGAGCGACTTGAGCCAGAGATCGAGCCAGTTCCGTCAGTAGATTGAGCCTGACGAGTAGGAGGAGGAATGTAGCCAGCAGGGAGCTTGAAGGTACGCCTCAGCAGGTCGTCCTGCTCCACGACGTGCTCGAGCAGACCGGACCACCAGTCGTGGTCATCGGGCAAATCGAGGGCGCTCTCATAGCCGACAGGAGCCTTGGGCATAGCATCCCATATGGCCTCCATGTTAAACTCCTCAAACCTGTCCTCAGCGACTTGGACCCCTGCTTGCTGCATTATGGCCCCAAAACAATGGGTGCCATAGTCCTGCACATCCTTCAAATATTGTGGCGACTGCTTGAATGCAGAAACCACTTGTTCACAGTAAGCTTGTAGGAGGCGTTGGCCAGCTGTAGTATGGAAGACCATTCGTCGAGCCCGAATGGCAGCCTCGTCGACCAACGGCTTAGCCCTTTGTTCGAAGGCAATGTTTTCACGCGCTCGCGCCGACTTCTCCTCCTCGAGCGCAGTCTCGAGAGCCTTCTTGGAGGCTAGGAGAGCCTCCTTCTCTGCTCGCTCCGCTGCGAGGGCCTCCTCGAAGGACTTCAAAGCCCCCTCGAGCGTATCTTTTTCCTCAGAGAGGGCCTTGTTACGGGCAGCCGACTCCTTCAGCCTATCGTGGAGATCGTTTGCCTTGGCCATAGTCTCTTGTAGTTGTGTGCCAACGCGAAGATTACTCCGCTCGAGGGCCGAGATAGATCGACCAGGGCTCGTAAGGGTCTGCTCGATTAGGGGCGCGAGCTCGACCATTCCCTGCAGGGGCACATAATAGAAAATGTTGGAATACTTAACAAGCGAAAGACGAAGAATAAAAATGGACATGCATTGAGAAATGGTATGCTACCTGAGCCAGCCAGCGGGCAAGCCGTTGGCCACGATCACGAAGGGAGTGGCCATCGTTATAATGGTCGGTGGGATGGTCAACGGCGGAAAGAACATCCCTGAGATAATGCGAAAACCCCGGACCGTCGAGCGTTGTAATCGAAAGGGCGGTCTCTTCAACGCGGCGACGTTTGGGGGCATTTTCATCCTCCCCACCAGAGGAGCGTTTAAGTGGATTCTCCGCTAGCTCAGTTCGCTCTGGCGAAGCAGGGATATGTACGACCGAGGTCGTTTGGTCGTGCGTGGGAGATGACGGCGGTGGAGAGGATGGTTTCTCGAGCGGCTCTGATGGCTTGGTTGGTTGGTCGGTCGGAAGATTGGTCGAGGATGGTTGTTCGACAGTTAGAGCAGGGGAAGAAGAGGCCGTGCATACAGGCTGTGGGGCGGTTGAGTCGGCAGGCTTGGAACTCGACCCCTCAACATTGGTTTTCTTTTTCAAAGGGGCTTTCCTCCTGGGCACAGAGATAGCGGGCATCTCTGCAAAAACGGTATGCATAAGTCACAGCGGCAATAAATACATAACAAGTGAGACGAACAGGATGATGTCTAAGCCTAATCAACAATAATACATACCTGGGTCACCTTCGATTCGGATAAGGTCAAAAGTTTTTCGGCTAGGGAGCGGACATGACTTATGTGTAAGTAGTCCACAAAAATGCAAGAGGTCCTCATCCTCGAGCAGAGTCTTCGACGCAACGGGCTTGCTATTCCATACCGCAATCCGCTGGTCGAAGAGGGCGTTGGTTGAGGGTATGGAGTACTCGCGTGGCAATTCTTTCAACCACGGAGATGGCGCCCAAGGGAAAGCAGGGCTGGGCTCGACAAAAGCGAATTTGCCTTTCCAGCGGGGGACATTTGTAGGAGTGTCCGAAATGAAGTGGACATCGTTGCGACTCTTGAGGTAGAGCCCCTGAGCATGTTTGGAGGGAGTATAGCAGTAATGGAAAAAATCCAAGTCGAGTCGACCCAGACGGATGTGGCAGAGGATGATGAAGACGGTAATAAAGCGGATAGCATTAGGAGGAAGTTGGTTCAGAGGCAGATCGAACCACTTGCAGAGGTCGATCAAATCTGGGCTTAAAGGAAAGCGGACCCCTAGTTTAAATTGCAACTCGAAGAAAGTGTAGCAGTTGGAAGGTGGATTATCATAAGTATCGCGAGGGCCTGGGGATACGAAGGCCCAGCCGACAGGATAGCCAATGTCTTCAGCATCTAGCCAGCCGGCTATAAGGGAGCGTGAAGAGGAAGAAGCCTTCTTCGAAGAGACAGGGGCCTTGGTTGACTTATCCTTCCTAGGGATAGCAGCATCGGAGGGTTGCGGAACACCCTTCTTAGGGTTGGGAGAAGGGGTAACCCGAGCGAAGATAGAATGACGAGAAAGGGGGACATCATCCTCATCCTCCTCAGCGGCAACCTCGGTGGCATCAAGAGCCTCCTCGGCGGCGTCAGAAGCCCCGAACGCCGGTCGGCGGCGTTTGAGAGGGACGTGATCAAGGGTATCCTCATCTGCTTTGTCAATCAGACGAGTAGGTTGGCGAGAATGAGAAGGTGTGGCGTGGTCGGAAGGACGTAAAACGCTGATGGGAACAGGATTGTAGATCTCCTCAACAGAGCGAGAAGGCGAGTGAGGGATAGGCTGGCGAATAGGGAGAGACGATGCGCTTGTCCCATTATCACTGAACTGATGGCTCGAGGCGTTAGAATCAGCGGAATCTGAAAAGTAGAACAAAAATTGAAGAGAAAAGAAGAGGAATTAGGGTTTCGGAAAGCAAGGAAGGTGGGTTTTTTGCCGCAAGCGAAGCGAGAAAAATTGGGGGAAAAGAAGGAGTTCTAGGACAAAGTGCAAATTGACAAAATAAACGCACGCATATACAAAATGGAAGCACAGGAAACTTACTCATAGTCGCAGTAGCGAAGTGGTCGTCGGAAATTGCTTGAAGAGGCGCTGAGTGCAGGAGGGAGAAACTCGCAGAGAGAGAAAGCAGAATGCCAGAGAATTCGAAATTGCAAAGTGAGAAAAGTGGAAAAAAGGCTAAGTATTGCATTTATATGAGTACAAATGAATAAGGTGAAGAGTTAGTGGATATGGCCGTTGGATAAAAGTAGATCCAACGGTGGAAAATATTAAAAGGGAACAGATAACGAAGCGGCACAAATCGCGAGGAGGTGCGATGATGAAAATTGCAGAGTGAAAGGACATGTGGCAGACGGAAACTACGCTGAATAATAAAAGGAAATAAAAGACAGTTATGATGCGCATTAAAATGAGCCATGTGGTCGAAGAAAGATGCCAACATCAGTGAAGATGGTCGAGAAAAGAGGCTGAGCATCGACATCAACAAAAAAATGATCGAGAGGATTGACAAGACGGAAAGGGGGCTCGAATCCACTCTTAGATCGAGTCATTCAGACTCGACCAGAGTGGGGGGGACTAGATGATGTGGGATATTATAAGACTAAGGAGCAGACCGGTTTGTCATGTCGGTCAGGCAGGCATAGGAGAGAAAACTACGTGGGTTGAAGGATGATCGACCAAAATGGAAGATGTCGAGCAGAACAGCAGAGTTGGTCGAGGATCGACCAACGAGGGGGAGCTCGATCATATCGGGCATACGACAGGTAGGAGGTAGTCGAGAGCGTGACCTTAACGCGAGTAGGCGCGTGAGTGATGCCAGAAGATCCCAACGGCTTGCGCAAGGGAATAATTCCCCTCAGCTCAGAGAGGGTCACGTGGCGAGAATATATTGGTGCAGAGTGATAGTGGTAACAACCACCTCTGACACCCCTGACATTTCTGACAACACGTACACTGTGTGTGTACGGACGGGCAGCGCGGGCAGGACAGCTCACCCAATATCCGGGCAGCTCTTAGGGCAGGTATCTCACTCCTATATATATAGGAGTGGGTCTTTTCTTAGGGTTTACGATTTATCCATTCTTTACTTTGGAAAATTGAACAAACATACACTGACTTAAGCATCGGAGGCTCTTCACCGGAAAACCCCTCCGGTGTGAGAGTTCTGTGCAGGAGCGCGGCGTTCTATCGACGAGGAAGAAGGAAGCAAACCGATTTCGAGCCGGTTGGAGTGTTTTGCGTTACCAAGTCTGTTGCTTTCACGTTGTAGATGGTAAATTCGAGCTTGAAAGTCATTAGATTTTTGCAGCAGCGAGGAAATTAATTGCTTTGAACGCGTGCACATTGGACCATCAACCCACGAAAAGAAGTCGCAACCCCCATCCTGCAAAAAATTAAAAAACAAAAAAAAAAAAGAAAATTGTGAAAGTCATCTAAAATTAGGGTTCTTCAACAACGATTTATCTGAATCTTACCTTGTAATAATTACATGATTGGAATCGCCTTCCAGGGTTATCCAATGTCCAGGACGTGCGAATGACAGAATCATGTCCACATTTACATACCCTCAACACGGCGTCACGCGAGATGTCGGCCATTTTTTTGCAGGTTGGGGAAAAAAACCAGTGTTTTTGAAGTCCGTAAACTACTTAGGGTCAGAAAATCAAGATACTATATAGATTCACCAAACTTTGGAAAGAGCGCCAATTTTTGTTAAGATTCCCCCTATTTACGTAAAATTTTAATTTGAACACAAAATACAGAATCAACAAATGATGAAAGGTCATAATAACACCCAATAATTATCATTTGCATTAAACATTAGATATCAAACACTAGGTCGTTACAATTTAATAAAGTTTAGCCAAGTACCAAACATCCCAACACAAGCCGTAATAACCAAGTACCAAACATCCCAAAACAATTATCACTTGAACTAACATGATCTAACCGTCTGCCAAAACATCACAGCACATTAACAAAAAAAAAATTTACATACGACATAATCAGAAGAACCCCACAACATGATACACACCACAACAAGAAGAACCCCACAACATGATACACCCCACAACAAGATCTCCACAAAAGTGACATCTGATACACCATAGAACAAAAGTCATTTCATACAGCAGATGACGATTCAGAATCGCTGGGGACATCAAAAGTCGACTGAAGAGCATCGTTGAAACAAATTTTAGCGGCTTCCCTCATTTCAAATACCAGCATGCATCCGCTGTGCCACTTGAAGCCAGTTGTTCGGAGAAATTGTTCAATAGTGTTTTTCTTTATTGTTTTTTCAGGAAAAAATACATAAGCGATTAATATATAATGTAATTGATTGTATTGACTGTACATAAATAGTTAATGTAAATATATGAATAATTCACCTCGGGCCACGCGTAGAACCGATAGAATTTGTTCACCCTAACCTCGCCAGTTTTTGAATCGACTTTTGAGTGCATTCTCTGGAGAAACTTCGTGAAAAGGTTGTAGTGGTTCCTTAGCCGCTGAACTTGTTCTCTAACAGCCCGATTATCTACAGACCTGCCCAATACTTCCGACAGATCTTGCACCAGTGGAGACGATATTGAGTTGAACACCTTAAAATTGTGAATGTCGGGCAATGCGAGAGCCTTTTCAAAGAAGAGTTTGTAACACTCCAAGACGTCCTGCTCGCTCCATCCTGGGTTGCGAAAGACTGGCGCCATTTTTAGTGCATCATCGTCGTTGTTCGTCATGGCCGTAGTAAAGGTACGAAATAATTGAATCAAAATATAGCAGTCGTATAATGAAATTGGCCGAAAAAAGAAAACCAAGAAAGGATTGTAGGATAAATGTATGTGCAATATTGCTTGAACAAGTTATCCCCAACTTCAATGATGTATTCAGATTGAGTCTTGTTTATAGTCCCTTTACACACGTCTGTAAACCGAACACGCAACCACCATCCCCACCTCCTCAATAAATGATACTCATCATTACAATTGTGGGTAGGTTTTAGTACTTAATGACAAAAAAGGACATACGTGTGGAACTAAATAATCTACAACAACATTTTGTTATCAATATTTGATTTATTGGTCATCGGTTTTTTAATGTTTGATATTTAAATACAAATATATCCCCATATATATATAGATACATGGGATTAGTAATAAATATTGTTGAAATAACTAATTCATTTATTCTGCAACATAATCAGTACCAAAAAAACCAAATAGTAGAAAATAGTGTTTGGTACATTTAAATACCAAAAAATACGATGAATGGTCCAGAATAAACTAAACAATATATGTTCAAAAAATACGAACAACTAATTTTTCAAGTCAATCTCAATATCAACTGCAGACTGACCACTGTCCATATAACTCGTTACATATTTCCGTAATTCATCAGTCGTTCTTATTGGAATGTCATAACGCGAGTTCTGTCCGAGCTGACAACCTGCGTAAATAGGCACTGAATCTTTGACTGATGGGGGGATACCAGCATACTTCACTAGGCTGGATAGTGTACCAAAAGTTATGTTTCTCGAGTCAAAGCAGGCACCACTGTAGACTTTATTACATGAATTCCTACCCTTAACGCAGAAACCAATCATAACCCTACAAACATAGAATAATACATTATTAACGAACATTTAAATGTGTATGTTTAACGAATTTAATATATGATTTTAAACTACCCTGAAACCTAATACAATGTAGATTATGTACAAACATATACGGAAATGTCTTACTTCTCGTTGTATTGTGCTGTGTACATCGTGACAATCAACCTTTCCCTTGCTTCCTTAGACTCATCCTGTTTGCAAAAATAATTAACTTATAAATAATTGTGATTGTACTATGCACATCAATTATACCTGCCAACTTGTAATTACCTCCGTAAGTACACGCCAATTAATCTTTGTTATCGAATTGGAACGACATAACATCTGAAGGCAAACATACAGACCGCAATCGTATCTGCCGAATAATTAATTATAAGTTAGATAAAATCAACACTTAAGTAAGGATTATAATTCAATGTCCGTATATAGTTATACAATGATGATGTCCGTACCCATTGAGTTGTTGTGGAACACTTAGGTCGAATACACACTTGAACGTCGTTGCAATATTTTTAGCGAGAAACCCATCATCATCCCATAAAGAGACAATCCGCTCCAGTCGGCTTATCTGATGAGGAATAATAAAATATTAACAATTACATCCAATCACGGTAAAAAAAATTAAAAATAAACCATAAGGCCGTTTGAAATTCATAAATATCAAAACAAGGAGGTTACCACTGTTTTTACTTTTTCCAACCTCCCTGCAATTGTTGGTCCCGAAAGCAAGGTATCGCAGATTCGTATAACCGATGTTCTAATATCAACAACGCATATGAACCAGTGCTTATTCGAATCCGATATAGGCAAAGTTATACTTAAGCATTCGTCTGCACGATCAGTAAATAGTCCATATCGGAAGAACATAGATTGAATCGATTCGTCACTGTGCGATGACATAGCCATTCCCTGCATTCCACATATAGGGCCATTGAATATATGGTATGATACTTAAAACATTATTAGGATGTTAATATTTTTAAGTGTCTCACGGTGATTGTTGCCGGTAAAACCCAATGGCGTATGATGCGACCTGTCGGGGGCCGTTTCATCACTGCTTCATAATTAGGATTCACTGATGCATGTACAGCGACAAAATCAATGACCTACAAAAAGAAGGATTGCCACAACAACCAAGAAAGTCAAAATTAAAAGTAAAAAACGATGATAAATAAAGTTAATTGATGGATTATATTATCTCACAGGACTTGAAAACCAGTGCGGGTATTCAACATTAGCAACTCAGCCCTCGACACATTCCATCCGTGATACTTGAGCAATATCTTCCTGAAAAAAATAGTTGTTCGACAATTTTGCAATTAATATACAATTCGCCACCAAAAAGTAAGGATTATTATGTTTAAACAACACATTAATTTGCATTTTGCCATGTCGTTATCTTACGTAAGATCCAAGGTAGCGTTGAAAACGTAATTGGACACTTCTTCATCATAAAATGTAATATCTCGAAAATATTCGAACACGTCTATTCCCATGTTGGTGGTTGCTTCTGGTGAGCCTGATCCTTCTGACAATGCATGAAAATCCAACTTGTTGGGTTTGACTGTACGCTGAAACGTTTCTGTGGCAATATTCCATTTTCGGTGACTCTCTTGCAGGCATATACTCTGCTTTTTCTTTGTTATCATTTTGTCCTTTAAGCGGTGACTCAAAGGCAGGCGTATGCTCTGCCTTTTCTTTTTTATCAATGTGTGACTCTCTTGCAGGCGTATGCGGTGACTCTCTTACAGACGTATGCTTTGCCTTTTCTTTTTTATCATTTTTTCCTTTAAGCAGTGACTCTTTTGCAGCCGTATGTATTGCCTTCTCCTTTTTATCATTGTGTCCTTTGACTGATTCGGACATGTTTTCATCTTCTGGAGTTGCAACTACTCTGGGCTTATTGTCTTTCAGCAAAGTGATTATAGCGAACACCCCCTGACTAACTAAGGTTAGTTGGTCAATAAGCTTGTCTATGAAATCAGCTTTCATATTTGATTCAATCGGCACCTTATCGTTTGACACAGCCTCATCCATCGTCATTTCATCCAACTGATGACGAATTTTCCAATCCTGCATAAAAACGTATGTACTTTTTCAAATGGTCTAAGTTTATTAAATTTAACTGTATATGATTTATAACAATGTATAGTTCATTGAGCCAATAAAAAAACAAATAATTGACGTCCAAAAATCATACTTACAAATTTTTCTTCATAGCCACCCATTTGTTTAAACACTGTAATGGTTCTACTCATGTCTTGTTGGGACCACTGCTCTAAATATGGGGATCCAGAATGCAATTGCTTGCAAGGGTAAATTGTCGTCACATAACTGATGAAAACCACCTGTAGTTGTTTAAAATTAAATTTCACATATATATGTAAATAATTACATAATATACCAGCCATGTTAAAAAATTATTACCTGCAACAATAAAATGCAACCCGTGACATAAGAATATTTGCGTGATTGCACGGCCTTTGCGCCTAAATCAAGCCTACGCATAATTATTTCACACCAATTGTAGTCTTGTACTGCATTCAAATCATCCAAGTAGTCTAGATACTCATAATCTATAGACAACTTATCCTTAGTTCGTGGAAACAACACTGTCGCAAACAGTAGCATCAAATAGGGTACTACGAATTCAGGTCCGGTTGTCTCGCACTTTGAAACAAGCTCATGCAGCTCAGAATACACCATCATTTTCCCATTTTTATCAGCAAATAAACTTTTATACTTCTCTTTACCCTCATCAATATTCTTCGGAAGTATCATACCGTCCCTCGACAAACCAAAATGTGACTCAACAACTTGTAGTGATAGAGGTATTAAAACACCACCGACGTTTATACTCCGGGATTTATTGTCATAATTTTTTATAATCATACTCACTAATTTATAACCAATCTGGGACACAGTAAGACGAGGAAACGTCCCAAATCCTATCTTTTCAAGTTCATGGCGCTGACTTGATTTCATGTTGTTATTGATTTCCACAATTGTCTTGAGTTTGGTCTGATGCAACAGGTTTGCGTCATCCATAGAAATTCTTGGTGAATGAGTTGATTCTCTCCAACTTCTTTTTGTATTCGCCGGTGAATTCTACGAGATGTATGACAGTATAACATTCAAGATTTAAAACATATACGACAAACAATATTCATAACGAAAGCAATAACTATGGATGGAATATTCAAGATTTAGACTTTTTTACCTCAGCAAAACCAGACATTATGTGGAAACTAATGCGCCGATCACGTTTGATAATGTTGATGCCGGTTATACAACGAACGTGGAGGTAATATAATGTGTTGTGATGTTAGTAGATGGGAGGTTCACACAAGATAACTACAACATGGAATAGTCAGTTGAGATTTTTAGGTGATACGTAATTGACTAAATATCTGCAATATCGCACTTGCCATAAATATTTTATACTTATTTATTATAGGACTACTGTATTATGGACAAAAAATATTGTTAAAATCTGCAATATCGCACTTACCATAAATATTTTATACTTAAATATTATAGGACTACTGTATTATGGACAAAAAATATTGGTTTAACAATAAATTAAAATATTGGTTTAACAATAAATTTGGGAGTACCGATAATTAATGAAATCATAATTTAGGAAATTTGAATTTAATGTTATACGTGGTCAAGATTCATGTGTGATATTATTAATTGATTAGATACTTCGACATTAACATCCGTATACTTGTATATCGCAACAAATAATGTGGTCAATATATATATATATATATATATATATATATATATAAATATTCATAACTTGTAATATATATTGTTTTTATTAATAAAGTAATATAATAATGTTATTAAAAAATAGTTATATAATAATGTTATATATATATATATTCATACCCACGGGATTTTAGTTTTAATACATATATATTTGTTATATTATTTGATTGTATTTAATAAAAAAAAATTGAAAATAATATATTTGGCTTTATGTCGTTGTGAGAATGAATGTTTTGCCTAATCGAAATACATTAGTACAACACCCGTGTACTACACGGGTATTGAATTAAGAAATATTACGTCAACATATTTAAATATAAATCGAACCGAATTGACTGTTGTTTGGTAAAATTAGTTGATAAGCTAGCTGATAGTTGATAA